AGTCGGCAAACTGGTCCGGGTGGTAGTACCCGCCCGACTTCTTCGACTTGACGGCGCCTGGGAACGGGTACTTGCACGAGTAACGGCTCACCATTGGGTTGCCGCCGCCCGCCATGCGCGGCGTCTGCTGCCAGATCTCGTACGAGCCCCACTTCGCCACGATCTGCTTGCGGCGCTCCGCGTCCTTGGCGGCCTTCTCCTCATTAAGTCGCTTGCGCTCGGGCTCTCCGGCAATCCAGTCCTCGTGCTCGCGCGCAAGCCGCTCCTCCTTGGCTGCCTTCTGCTTCGCCTTACGCTCTCTCTTGCGCGCGGCCTGCTCCTTCTTCTGGATGGCCTTGCTCGGTGCCATAATGTCGCCAGTGTGTCGCAACCCACCTCGACGCTCCACCTCGACGCTGTCAACGGGAGCTCCAGAAAAATGCGAGGGGTTTGTCTGTCTTCTTTCTTTCTGGGGATGCCGCCTGGATTCGGTGCTTAGCTTGGTGAGCACTTGAGATCTGCTCGGGTACCCGCAAAAGTCCAGTTTACCCGAAAAATACCTGCAAACGTCCCAACCAACGTATGCCGTATGCTCTCGCTCGCCTCTAGTCTCTCTGACGTAGTGGTATCGATGGACGACACGATGCCATGCAACCCTTCCGCTCCACCGTGCACCGACGCACACAAACGCACACACTACCCAGCAGACTCAGCAGGCAGCAGGGCGCCTTCGCCTACCGACACGCGCCGGGGCCCCCGAGTAGCGACTTTCTTTCTTTCTTTCTTTCAGCCCCGGCGGAGCCATCGCGCAGCTATACAGAGAGAAAAAAAAATATTCTTACCTTCAAGCCCCCCTCCGAGACTAGGGACAGTCACCACCCGTACACAGGAGAGATGGGAGTGCCCCCCGCCCCCACTTGCCCTGACTGCACAGGATAGCGTGCCCCGATAACGGCGACACATAGTGGGGGACACTGCGCAAGGAGGGGGTGCGAAGCCTAAGATTGGGGTTCTAGGTGGTGGGACCATGAGGGGGGGAGGGCGGGGTCCTGTGGGGGTGAAATGTTGCGCGGCGAATTCGAACCTACCCCCTCGCCGCGCCGATCCTCACGCGGAGGGTAAAACCCTGTGGGACAAAACCCCTCCGCGGTCGGCTGTCTTCAGAGTGGACCCG